ATTTTTCAATCTATAAATTGTAATCGTAATCCGTGCAGGCCTAGAAAATATTATTATCTTCAAAATTATCTAAAATGTCTGTCGGAATAAAATAAATCTAAAAATACGGTTTCCAAATTTTCCTATAGTTCGACTAATCTGTATATAAAATTAATACTTGTACCTATTACTTGTGTATGTATGTATGGTGTAATAAAAATAATTATTATTTATATTACTTATTAGAGTGGTAAAAACGGTAGAGTGCAATCAAACGGTAGAGCGCATACTGCAGTCGTAATGTCGCCGGTAGAGCGCATACGACAAGATAGYCATTTATAGTAATTATTTATCATCATTCATTTACAGTATGAATTGATTATTATTATTAATTAATGTATTATGTTACTATATTATTACTCATAGTAGGTAATTTATTACCTATAATCTATATTATCATCATATTAAATCATCTTATATTAGTTATATTGCCAAAAATAAATTATCGGCTGTTGAATTTATTTTGGCTGAATCTTCTTAAGTTCTTTCAAAGTCACATTACTTAGCGACATCTTTAGCTGGTGGCAGTCTGGCAAGTTGACATTTCGGCTTTGCCACGACTGTGAAACAATGTGATACCTTATGCTGTATGCTTTCGAAGTCGTCAAGTTCGATGGTCTCTCCATAATATATAGTTTTACTATATAGTAAGGTATATCCCTATAGGGATTTCACTCCAAGGTCAGCAATTTGAGTTGGAGTTCCTTCATGATTTTTTTCACTCATACTTCCATATTTTCAGTTATCTATTGTTATAATAAATAATAGTAATTTTACATTCTTACATGATTTTTAAATTATTTTTATATTTTATACTAACTGGTAAAAATTAACATTTTAGATTTTAAATATTTTAATCATAAAACATATTTTTATTTCTTCTCAGGACTCAATTTCACAAACTTGATTGTTTTGTCAAATTATAAATAAATAAAATGTACCTAGTCCAGTAGTCAACTTCTTATGTTTCTAAAACTATCGAGGACTG